AAAAAAAAAAAAAAAATACTATGGTAAATGTACATTGTGATTAATTTGCGAGCGATTATTTTTTCGTCGATGTGCTGATCAAAAATTCACTCCCTCCCATTAAAAACTGAAATGATTCAATTGCGCGGAGAGGGACGTGACGGTACGTATGATATTGTATGGCTTGATATACTGTGTGCTGTACAAAATAAAAATAGTATAGTCTATTATAGGTTTTTATATATTTTTTTTTTATTCTATGTATTTTCTGGTGGAGAGATTTTTTCGGGGGTTATAATATTAATAATATGATTATATAATGTTGTTTAAAATTTCCTTTAAAATATCAAAAAAAAAAAAAAACAAACGACTGCGCCAACGTATCACCATAATTTTAAAGGACGACATTTTTTTTTTCATTTGGTAATCTTGTACCTTTCAGTCCGAGTATCTAATCTAAGATATTTTTCCGAAATATTTTATGACTCTGCGTCTTTATGCCAGCCGAACGACCAAAAACCTTGGATTATTATATATAATATGTCCCCTCACCTTGAATGACGACGACGCATATAATAATATATAATAACGTTTAATGTGTGTTGTACGTGTATTAAATTTTGGTACATATCCTCCGATAACTGATACGAGGGGAAAAAAAACAAACATTTCTGGAAGGTTCCCATTATAGTTAATAATAACGAGAGGATAATCAATAAATATTATTTGTAAATTGTAATCTTCCCGCGTCTGGACTTGGGCACGTTTTCGGATAGATATCAATCGGACGGGACGCGAGCTCCACGGAGATTGTGTAATTTCGATTCGTTCGGTTCAATAGGCATGGTCTGTAGTATCGAATTATTGTCAATAAAAACAGACAGTATAGGAATGCGGTGTTTTTTTTCTTTATCACTAAACCGTATGAATATCGTATATTATACATAATAACATACTTATCTGTTTACAACATAGAGGATAAAAGGTACATTTAATGGTACCGGGACTTGTCCGGCCATTCATTATAAAATACCTTAACAATCACCGATGGTGACACGTAGACGCCACACGCATATCTGTTCAGGTCAAACAATTTTACAATAGAGTATGTACTCATACCGAATAATTATTACGTATACAATTCTCAAATTTAAAATATCTGAAGAAAATTTAAAAATATTTAATAGAAAAAAGTTATTACATTTGTCAAATTGTCCAGTTACATTCTATATATATATATATATTTTGCACTTATATATGAGAATTCTGTTCGATAATTTTTCACAAAGTTTATGACATATCTTAAATCGTTGTTTTCACTGTAGATGACCCAAGTTATAACCACGATTAAATAAATTAATTATGTGGTTAAAATCAAAATGTTTGTGATATCAATATAAACAACGGTACCTTACCCTCGGTTTTTCGGTAATTGAATCGCTCGNTATCTGTTTACAACATAGAGGATAAAAGGTACATTTAATGGTACCGGGACTTGTCCGGCCATTCATTATAAAATACCTTAACAATCACCGATGGTGACACGTAGACGCCAAACGTATATTTGTTCAGGTCTAACAATTTTACAATAAAGTATGTACTCTTACCAAATAATTATTACGTATAAAATTCTCAAATTTAAAATATCTGAAGAAAATTTAAAAATATTTAATAGAAAAAAGTTATTACATTTGTCAAATTGTCCAGTTACATTCTATATATATATATATATATATTTTGCACTTATATATGAGAATTCTGTTCGATAATTTTTCACAAAGTTTATGACATATCTTAAATCGTTGTTTTCACTGTAGATGACCCAAGTTATAACCACGATTAAATAAATTAATTATGTGGTTAAAATCAAAATGTTTGTGATATCAATATAAACAACGGTACCTTACCCTCGGTTTTTCGGTAATTGAATCGCTCGTTATCAACACTATCTTAGTAATGCAACACAAAGATTCGTATAATAAACACAATATATTTATTTGTTTCAACGAGAGACTGTCAGTGGCAGAGATCGGTAGGGGAATGGGGTTAACCTTGTTAACTCTCCTATGGCAGATGTTGACTATAAAGAGGAGTAATCGGCCAAAAACTACACGGAAAAAAATGACAAGTTTGAAACGTATAAAGTATTTTACTTAAAAAGTACAAATATTAGTGACTAATTTATTGCAGGCTGTTGACTCCCGAACAAATAACTCCCGTCGTATAACTGTATATATTGAAGATCGCTCAGCATTTTTTTTTCTTTCTGTGAGGGGATCTAATTATATGAATTTTAAATTGTGATAGTATTTATTTTTAAATATATACAGAAATCCAATTGCACGCCCGTGTGTGATCTTTTACGCACTTTTTTATGAAAGAAACTTTACATTTATATTAATTTAGCACTTTGAGTTTGATTTAGTCGCGGGAATTTGTTTTCTAGAACGTTGAGGAAACAAGCTACTATACAATAATTTTATATGTATATTATTTTTAGGGCTACAGCTACTACCTACTTTTGTTTTTAAAATTGAAAACCATATTAAAAATGCCATAAATATATGGAATATTAGTTAAAATAAATATTAGTTTTGAAATTTCGGATTTCCATCAATCTTTTGACGAGATAAACCACTTTTAAGTTTGGTTCGAAGGAGAATTGTAGTAAATCACCATGAATATCCAAGACTACAAGATATGAATTTGTATCAACAGTCCTAAATAGTTAATGCAGTAACCTTATAACCTATAAATTTAAATAAAGAAATATTATATTTTAATAATCTTTTTCGTAGTTTTATTAAAATGTACATAAATATTTAATGAGGAATATTTTTTAAGAATTTGTTTTTATGTTTTTTTTTTTAGATTGAATTCTTACATATGAATTTTACCCTAGAGGTCAAAAATAATGAATTGATGATACAACCCATAGAATATTGATTAATTTATGCACTTAAAACAGTGAGTATTCTCCAATTTTAACCATAGTCCACTTACAAATGTCAAACTATCTGTTAAATTATAATATTATCTATACAGTTCATGAGGTTTTCCTCTGTGACTCCCAAACGAAATTGTCTTTCTTTTTTATTATATATACGCTAAATCACACATTTTGAAAAAATAAGCTAAAGTATCGATAGTTTGCTAACTATAATTAAAAATTTTCACCAATCGTTTATTTTTTGATACAATTGCTTGATCTACCACAGCCGAAAAATTATCTTGATAACATTTTTGCTCATTAGAAATTGTACGTGTATCAAACTTCCATAATCAAACTGCTTACTTTTTTTTAGAACTCTTTTTTAGACCACTTAATAACTAAACAGCATTACTCAGTTTCATACTTTTGTTCCGAAGACATTTACTTTATTTATTGTAGATTGTAGTACATAACAAATAACAACACTTAATGAAATCATAAGAAAATTGAATAACATTTTACGGCTATACTTTAGTATTTGTCGTACCATTCCAATCTGGAGAAGATTATCTCAGTAGAAAAGGAAATCATCTAAATGCACAACCTAGATAAAATTTTTATTCAGAAAATGTACTACATTCTATACATCGAGGCAAGATTTTTTCTCGGAAAGTTGTGTACACACAGAAAAAACAAAATTTTAAAAACACATCATAGTAAAGTCAACAACTTTAACTTACTCGATTTGCTCAGAATTTATAGAAAATTACTTTAGTTGTGGAATTAGTTTCTATATTAAAATAATGACAAACTAAATATTATTTTTGGTATTGTTGAATATGTTTAAACATTAGGATTCATATTTATGACCCTCCAGTATGATTATATAAATTTCTAAATATTTCGATTTCAGAAAAATAGTGAAGAAAAATTGCAAAAAAGTGGACGCCCCGGGTGAGGATTGATATCACGACCTTACATTTATTGGACATCCGCGCTACCAACTGCGCTACCGAGGCTGTGTTAATGTTCGTCGATTTAAGGCCTATTAACATTTTATGTTCACAATATTTAATGTAAATTTATATATTTAATGTATTTACATGTATCACATTAAATTATCAATAAAATCATTACNTATTGGACATCCGCGCTACCAACTGCGCTACCGAGGCTGTGGTAAAGTTGGTTGCTTTAAGGCCTATTAACATTTTACGTTCACAATATTTAATATAAATTGTTTAGAATTCATAAGCTTTTAATACTAATTAGTAATTATAATTTTTTTTGTATCAAATTATTACTGTTTAGGAACGATATCTTATAACACTCATTATTTTCGTCTGACAATTAACGATAATTTTGGCATAATTCTAGTTTAGCAACGTATCGATTTTTAGATTTTTTTTTTTCAAAACGCGTGATTTTTTGTGTACATAAAAAATAATAATAAAAAAAGACAATTTCTCAACGTTATCAACTGTGAGTTTTACTTGGTGTTCTATAAACTTCATTTTTGGTCTAAATATTTATGTAATGTGGAAAATTCAATCATAATACAATGTCTACTTGAAGACGGAACAAGAATAAAAGCTGCGGACAAAACTCTTATAAATATATTACCGGTCGAACTTCATTTGCTGAGCTACCAATATTGCAGACCGGGTACCGATTTGAAAAAAATCTAGAGATGACAATGGTATAATCCCTATGTAATTTGCGTGTAGAGAACACGATTTAGCTTACAAACGTAGTAATTCTATAACGGAACGTATTAAAGCAGATTTTGTGTTTGAAAATCGAACTTGGGAAAGATTTAAAGCCAAAGACTCCAGCTTTAGGGAAAAAGCATCGGCATGGGCTGTTACGACGGGCATGAAGGCGATACGTAAATTATGGGCGGGGTGCGGGTTCAATGTCGTCGGTAATGCCACGAAAACTATATTGAAGAAAAACATTGGTGAAAAAAACATTCCAATATTAATAAGAAAATGTCTGACTGCTGCGAGAAGGATGTTCAAGAAAAATAGAAATAAAAATTAAACTCCCCGAGTAATACCTATGCCCAAAACTGGTGGTATGCTGTCACTTATACCAATTTTCGCCGGACTGTCCGCGTTGAGTTCTTTGACGGCTGTTGCTGCCGTCGTAGCCAAGACGGTAATTGAATTTAACCGTACATCGCCAACACATTTGGGGAAAGGATTATACCTCGCACCGCATAAAAGCGGATCTTATAAAATTACGAGCGGAAACTGATTATACCTCGCGCCGTATAAAGGTGGTTTGAATAAACGAACTAAAAATAAACAAAACTAATTGATAAGTTACCTGATAGAGCGATGTATGATTACGAGATTATAAAATATCCGCGCTTAATGAATATACTTCATTTCATCGGGGTATTTTCTCGAAATTGTTTGTCCTCTCGCCCCCGTCATAACGAGTATGCAGTTATTTATCTCAATAAAGAGATAAAAGTGTGCCCAAAAGATAAAATAACTAAATAGTATAAAAAATCCCCCTTCTCACGTCCGTACTCGTCGTCATAATATAGTTTTATAATTATTAATGTATATATATTAATGTATTTATAATTATATTATATTATATAATAATTATATAATTATATTCATTCCGGGCATTTTCCCGGAATGAAACTAATCGCTAGAAATGGGACCGAATGGCCCTTTCAAATGTGACAATCCTTCGTTAAATGATGTAAAACGACTAATAGCGCCGATATCAAAAATCGGCAGTGTTGTAATTTGGGAAGGCAAGAGGGCACAGGTCCCCCTAAAAAATTCATGTGGAGCAAAGGTATCGTTTTACACCCCCTTCCCCGATAATCTGACAGCACAAATATTTGAATTATCATAAGTTGAAAAAGAATATAAAATATTATTTAACATAACATATTGTATTGTGACCTAGCAGATTAGAAATAATTTTATATAATATTATTTTATAGAAGTTAATATTTATTTTAGATTTCTGTTGTATATCTTATCACAATAATCACATTTGTTGAGTTAGGAACAGAATCCTCGCCGATCATCTTGCTATTTACCACAGTGCCAAGGAATACTCCTTTGTTTTGCGATGGTACGCCTAGGTTGGGCTTCAGTCTGCCTATGGCATTCGCTGAATCAGCAGCCTTGCGGGCTGCCTGTTGTATATGTTTGGTGAACGAGAGCCGCGTGTCGATCTCAACGCCAAGGTATCACATTGACCGTTTGATAGAAATTACGTGTCCTTCAACCTAGAGCTCCGGTTTGACGTATTTGTTTTTTATTGTCAAAACTACGGCCTCGGTTTTTGTAGGGGCTAGCTTTAGTCCGCTTTGTTCCATCCAAGCCGATACCTTAGCAAGCACAGGATTAAGTATAGTTGCGGCTGCTTCGCCTGTGCGGGCGATGCCTATGACGCACACATTATCAGCAAATTCCACGGGTTGGACACCTGACGGGTTTTCTAGTAAATCGTCGTAAAAAACATTCCACAAGGTCGGTCCAAAGACCAAGCCCTGGGGAACGCCTCCCGTCGTTCATTGACGGTGAAGTGTTTCTCCGACCAATATGGATCGATCCTGTAAGTAGAATCTTATCATTTTCACGAGACACGAGGGTACATTTCTGTCCCGGAGAGCATTATCCACTTTCTTCCAGGGCGCCGTGTTGAATGCGTTCTTCACTTCGATATATACGGCCACGCATATGTCCCGGTGTTGTGCCACATCTAAAGCTGCGTAGTGTGTAGCGTTCAGCAGTCGTTCAATAGCGTCTGAAGTCGAACTACCTTGGCGATACCCGTATTGGTTAGGTGATCTATTACCGGTACTATCGAGGTGCGCGTCGAGTCTAGCCAGGATTAGCCTTTGGCCGAACGCTCGCCGATAAGAATGTAGTATTAATAATAATGTGATAAACGTTACTCCTACCTTGATCCGTAGGCGTGCAATCCTAGCTTAAAAATGCCCTTATGAGGAAGGTTTTTATAGGACCGACTCAATACCGATACCGATCCTTTCTCGCACTTTTAGGCACTTTGAAAAAAAAAAAAACAAAATTGTACTAACAAAAAATAAAAGGTACCAAATACTATATAAATATTACCTATATAATTAAAATTATATACAAATATTATATGAATTAATTATAAAATTAAATGTAATTGTACTAATAAAAAAATTGTAATTTATTTCAGCAACCTATTTTATACACTGTATTTTTTTTGTCCGTACTTAAAGTATACAGATAATAATTTTACTACAGATGACTCAATCGAAAATATAAATTTTTCTTTTACATTTGGGTTTAAAGCACATTTACACAACATTTATTTAGCATTTAAGTATTTAATATTTTGATGAAATTTGGTATTGAATAATTGATGTAAAAACAATGGTGTAAAAATAAAAAGATTAAAATTTCAATATCGAATTCAATACAATTATCAAAATGAAAAATAAGTAATACATTTGAGGGAGAGATTTAACACCCTCCAAATTTTCCCAAAGTAATGCATAAAAATTAGGGGAGGGGTGAAAATTGAGACACCAAAAGGATTACCACGACTCTCCGAATAAAATTTATAATATTATACAATTTTCAAACGAGATTAATCAAAATACACGTAAATACAATTTTAAACTGGGCGGCCTTACCGAGAATCCATAATACCGAATCTTTTGTTGTCCGGTAATTCATCGAGCCGTATATAAAATTAACAAGAAAAAAAAAACAGACTTCCTTTAGAATTCGAATCGCCATATAAGTATTACAGCCCTTTGTTAGTCACTACGTGCACCAGTTGCACGCAGTGCTAACGTTTACGATACATTTTCACCGCAGACAAACACGACATTATAATATAGACATAATCGTTACCAAAACAACACCGTCAAAATTGTAGAGAAATATTATTTCAACTTGGAAAATAACAATAACATATGATGGACCAAATATGCTGAAAAACGATTCTGAGCGAAATTCGGTTATTAATGTTTAATTGAAATAGTTTGTATGGTTGTCGTCGATATTCAAAAATGCTACAAAAAAGATTTTTTGTCGTTTTTTTGATCGAAGCAAAATTTTTAACATAAAAGTCG